TGTGTGTGTGTGTGTGTGTGTGTGTGTGTGTGTGTTTAAACACATTTAGTTTAAGGAAACTGGAAAAATAAGGCTTGTTTACCCAAGAATATATAAAAATCTATTTCCTGAATTTCTATGGTAAGTCACAACAAATTTCTGTTGTACATATCAGCTACCTTATTATTTAGAAAATAGCAATAAAACATAAATTTTAAGTATTTCAAACTTCTTAAAAATATGATTACTCATCTCAAACTATAACCTTCATACATCCACGAAACAAATGCTAATTAGTTTTTGTAATATTCAGAGCAACAGAACAGTTCACAGGTATATTTGTATAAAAGCACACTGTGCCTTCACATGGCCCGTAATGTCCCCAAATTTGACTGCCCAGAATCAGAGTACAATTAAATCACCAAAATTGCTTTATTTTCTGTTCATATTGATCTCCACAATTATTTTACTATCTTAATCACATTGAGGCATATTTAACACTGTCTTATAATTAAAAATTGGGAAAGAACATTCTAGCCACTACTGAGCACGGCTGAACGAGTCAGAACAGGCTGATTAGCACAGTCATAATGTATCACTTTCCAGGGTGGAGGAACAATAGGAGATAAATCACCAGCTCTCCTGGGACCTTGTGACAAAAATGTGACAGAAATCTCACGCTGCGACTGCACTTTACCATCACCACTACTGACAGTGGAGAAGATGCATAGGTTTGGTCTCTATTCGCCACTTGATTTGGAGGTTTTTTTTTAACAGTACTGTGTTTCATAAAACCATGCTTGAAAAGATAGTATAAACAGAAAATATACCCCAAATGATTAGTTTTCTTCAAAGAGACACATTGACCATTTCCCAAAGGACTGGAGTGAATCTTAAAGACATAGCGAAAGAAGTAATTATTTTCCCAGTTGAACCATGATTTTCAGGAGCCCGTGTCCCTTTAACTCACCGGCACTAGGGAGGGCTGATCTTTCAGAACTCGCTCACTGGCAATAAATATCTCTTGGTTCTTATAACACATGAGAGAAAAAACGAATATTTTACTTTCATGGGGTAAGTTTACACCACAATTTGCTGTGTGTTCGAGACAAACCCATGTAGCCACATTATCCACTGAAAATATTTGAATAACATTAGCTCTAAATGTTATTTTAAATGCCGATCTGCTAACTTCATGTTAGAAAAATCTCAAAGTAGTTTCATTCTAGACTGAGAGTAGAGAATGCTGTGGATATTTTGAAATATAGCTTCAGAATAATCCTGTACATTAGATATTAACTTTTCATAAACTCTCTCTGATAGCCCACAGGTTATGTCAAGTCTTGAAAAAAACCCATGTTCTGGCGCATTCGTGAAATAAGACATGCTAAGAAAATCACAGGAGTTTCTCAAGACTTGTGACATTTTTCTAATGGAAATTCTGCAAACCCAAAAATTCCTTTCCACTTGAGGAGGAACAAAATTCCTAATTCATAAAACTGAAATCATTGCCAGTAACTGAGACAAGTGTATTAAGCCCAGCACCGCCATTCACTAACAGCACAGCACTGGGCACATTACTGTAGTAATCTGCTTTGGAAATCAAGTGAAATTACTAAATGGACTTTACACAAAGTGAAGGCAATATTTTATCGACCAGCTGAATTTACCAACACTTAAGATATTATTCTGAGACTAGGTATACAAGATTTGAAAGCTATCAGACTACAGAGTCCAAAGCTTACAGAAGTAAGGCTTAATTATAAAAATAACTGTCATACATAGAAATAGATGAGTCACTCAAATTCCTTTAACAAGATTATTTCAGCTACAATAAACAATATCTTGTCTATATGAAATGAAACCTCAATTCATAACAACTAACTTTTGAATAGCTATTCATGTTATACGTAGATATGTCATTTCATGTAATTCCCCAAACAACTTTCTCAAAAACTGACTCACTCCATTTCTCAAATGGAGAAAGGGGAGCTTCAAAAGAAATTAATT